TCAACCAAATCAAACTTGCTTTTTGTCTTAAAAAAACTGTCTTAATTTTTCAACTCAAATAAATGTCATAGAGAATATCCACATTGCAACCTTTGCACTTCTGAATGCAGCAGTAGCTGGGTATCAGCTCACACCATTTCTCCCACTCATCCCTTTAAAATGGTACAAGTTCACAACTTAGATTTAATATTTACCACATTAATAGCAACGTCCTAGGCTACGTGAAAATCGGAGCCCAAATCTTTGAAAATCAGACCTCTGTGGATAAGTGTTTCCAGATTATAGGAGAAAAAGTCAGCGTGAGCAGTAAGGCCCTTTACTCTCATATGCACGCACCACACACTTCAGCAACATCTAGAGAAACACCACGTGCCATTCCCAGCACAACCCCAAGTCAACTTGGATAAAGGCAGTCAAAATTTTTGCAAATTTCTTCACCAATGGTATTCCTAGGCAAGTCTTAGCAAGCCAAATGGCCAACATATTATAGATCATTAACTGGAAATAATTGGAAACATCTGTGACTCTATCCAGCTGAAAGGCATATATTTTACTTTCAAAAGTTTTTGGTACCACGATATGTTGAACAATGATTTCTATCATTTCCAGCACTCTACAGAGTACAGAGTTTTATGAATAGGGAATAGATATAACTGAAGCTTAAACTGGACAGTGAACCTATTTTTTGGCTATGAACAGGGCACCGGAAGCTTTTCTAAAGTTTTCTTCCCTGCTAATTTGTATACAGTTTCTAAGCTACTTTTAATGGCTGTAGGAAAGAGTAAACTTATTTATATTTTTACCAACATCTTCTACTGGTCTCTTAAATTAATAGTCAACCTGCTATGAACTTAGAAGTGTGTCAGAAGTAAAGGAAATAAAGAAAAACAAAGCCCGGCAATTTTGGTTGGAGAAGTTCATATAAAATTTAGAGATACTGGTCCTCTGGAGGTAGCTGGAGAAGAAAGGGATTAAGTATTTGCTTTTGTTTTCCAATGAATTATTTGGAATTTTAACATATGTTTCAAAATAAAAAGTTACTTCAGTTAGTACAATAAAAGTTTCCCTTAATGATTCATTTATTTACATTTCTTTGTAAAACATACTCCCTCTTCATTGTGTTGGTTATAGGAAGTAAGGTATAATGTGTGTGCATAACAAACATGAGGTATATATACCTCCCTTCCCCTTCCCATGGGAGACATAGCTAATTAATCACGGCATTCTTTGCTACTGAAGAGAAGTCTGAATTTTAGGGTTTCATGAATCTGTTATCTATCAGCTGATGCCGGCATGCAGATTTAAGCCTATTTCCTTTCCTTGGTACCAGAGAAAAACTTAGGTCAGCATGTCCACCCTCCCCACTTACTAGCTAAGAAATCTTGGGAAAGGCTTTTAATCTGTTCTGCTGCCCTCACAGGACTGTTACACAAGTGGAAAGATTAAATTCCCATAAACGCATTTTGTAAACTGTACAGTTGCAATCACACATTGTTTGAAGAAATAAGATTAATTGTTTTGTAATGTAAACAGCACCATCTCTTCAGTTAATCTCTTCCTGGGCTCTTTCCATACATATTTATTTTATCTATTTTGTAAGTGCAGTTTTTTTTTATTTTTGGTTTTATTAAAACTATCCACACCTGTATTCCCTTTGAATGTGATATCTGATCCTAACCAGAAGAAAATGCTGCTGGAGGAGAAAGCTCTAAATCTCACACCTGGCTCATCATTATGGCGCTCTGGCAGTCCTTTCTTCTCGGCTGGAGGCTGTGTGATTAATAACCCCTCTTCCCAATCATATGGATATAATACTTGTCTTCCTTTGGCTGGAGATGGGAGATATCTTATAAATGTGTGACGCACATGGGGGCTTCGTGATGCTAATTTCAAAATCAGCTAGGAGTTGATTGGCAGAAAACCGAACAATGGGGTGACAGGTGTGCTGGGGGTCAGGAATCTGTGAAAGAGAGGCTGAGTGAAGGTGGAGGAAAAGAGCTAGAGAGATTTGGAGTTAATCAAGAGCAGTAGCTGGGACAGCAGCCGTTTATGAAAGCAGATCTAAGCCAGATATCCTGGAAGAGAGGGCAGCTTCAAAGGCTGGTGAAAACAAAGAGAGGTGTGGGAGTTTAGCTGACTTCACAAAAAGCAGGATGGAACTAAGACGCCAAGATGATGCCATAAATGGCACAAACATATTCTCTGTGTACCACATTCCTGAAGTGTGCCTGTCTGCCCCAGGTTTGTACCCTGAGGAACCACGCCCATTTCTGATTATGACAGCCTCAAGGTCAGAGACGCTCTCATTTGTTTCTCTAGATGCCAATAGGGGACATGCACTCAGGAAGTGTTCACCGGACTAGACGGAACTAAACATTGGATTGTCAGGAAATTGATTTGGGTAACACGAAAAGGGGAGAAGCAGAGAATCGAGCCACAATTTCACCCCTTAAACATGCCAGCAGAAGTGATGAGGATGACTACAGGAACGTTTAGTTGGAAGGCTTCCAATAACTAGGCGGAGCACATTGTTCAAGATAAGCCCCATTTTGGTTTGCATTCTAAAATTCTAGTTAAGATGTGCTAAGTTTTCTGCATAGCAAATGCTTTCACCCCAAGGCCAACTAGACGATAACAAGTCCAAAGACGGAAAGTGTGTTGAAACTTTTCCAAAAAACTGGCTTGGGTATCTGTTGCTGACTTACTCTCTCAGGTGATCCAGTCAGCATAGCAAAAGAACTACCCCAGAGAGAAGAACAGGTGGAAAGGGGAGAGGTACGGATGCCACATCCTGTGATGGCCCGCCCAAACGATTGCCCCACTCAACCGGGGTCAATGCAGACAGGAGAAGTGAGAGGCAGTAGCTTGATATATTGGTCACATCTGCTCTTAGGGACACTTCATCCATCTTCTTTGCACTCTAGCCACTTTGCCTTTACAGATGGTTTTTACTTATGTAAAAATATTTTTTCTTTGGGCAGTATGACAGACTCAACACATGCTTCCATGTCCAAATGTATTTCTTTAGCAAATTATCTGCAAGCCAAAATTTTATGTGGGGTTTAATAAATCTGTGAATATAGTTTATACATACACACTTTAATTCAAATAACTCTCTTAAAATAGTCACATTTAACTGTCCATGCACACAGACTATATGTTTACATCATCCCTGTTGCATAGTAGAAGTTTTCCAAAAATTCTGGGTACAGTAGAAAGAGGGAGTTCCAAGGAAGGAATATTACCTCTAAAACTCCTCTCTAACACATATATGAAGGCATTTAATCTGTCGCCAAATACCAGAAATATTTTACTTTTCCCCTGTGAGAATGAATACTTCACCTAGATGAATTTTAAACAGTGAAATGACTACTTCCATCCCATCAAATCTATCTTTACTTAAAAATAATCAAAATGAACAGGTTTAGAGTTTCAAACTATTAGAGAAGGTTTTTTATTTTTGTTTTTTTAATTAAGAAGTGCTTCAGCTTGGACATATTCAAGGGAGGTCACTCAGTGCTTTAGCCAAGAACGTAATTCAAATATTGTGGAAATAATTTATGCTACTCTTCAAATATTTACAGGTCTCGCTCCTTCCTGACCAATTTGTGATTGTGTAGGACTGTGTGTCTAGTTCTGGACGATGAACTATGAGCAATGATGAGCTTCTCCTCCCGAGGAGGAGCATTTTAGTGCCATTGTAGACACTCCAGATCTATCCTTGCTCTCTGGCACGGCAACCCGTGATGATTGAGATGGTGGCTGTGTCCCTAGCCTTGTTTCCTTAGTGACAGTGATTGGTAGAACTTCCTGCTGACCCATGAGAATAAACCTTTGTGGTTTTTAGTCACAGGGACTTGGGAAGTGTTGACTAGCACAGCATACAAAGCGCATTGTGATTATATATGTGTGCGTATGTATATGTTTATATACATGTATTCCTCTTTTTTTTTTTTTTTTTTTTGCGGTACGTGGACCTCTTACCGCCGTGGCCTCTCCCGCTGTGGAGCACAGGCTCCGGACGCGCAGGCTCAGTGGCCACGCCTCACGGGCCCAGCCGCTCCGCGGCATGTGGGATCCTCTCGGACCGGGGCACGAACCCGTGTCCCCTGCATCGGAGGCGGACTCTCAACCACTGCGCCACCAGGGAAGCCCTATTCCTCATTTTAAAATATCTAATAACTATATATTAGTTACATACCTAATACACACACTCACATAGTTTCTTTTTAAATTGCAGAAGAATTTTACGTGAACCAATTGGTGCCATTCTACCCAGAACATTTTATGTCTTGTTATCTAAGAATTGTGAGTTAATATCATTCTGAAAGTAAAGAAAGAGGCCACAAGCAGATTCTACTTGTATTGTTAGTTGTTTATAATTGTTAGGACGGTGCACCTCAGTTGCAGATCTACATGGAGTCTAAGAAAATATACGTAGATCTGCACATACACAATCTGTAATAAATAAATGGAGACATGTATAATAAAGTTGAATGAATAACTTTATGAATCCCACAAATAACTTTACGAATCCCACAAAAGTGTGCATTTAGCTTTAGTGAAAGTTCTTCAAAAACAAAGGAGTTATTTATAACTCCAACTGCCTTCTTGTAGAGGGAGGGTTCTTCATTGACATAATACTATGAAAAATAGGGGCATGATAGTCTAGAAGTGGAATTTATAGAAAAGCTGGATTGTTTTGAAAAAGGTGGGGGGGGGGTGATAAAAAGAGATGGATGGTACCTAGGGGAAATCTAAGAAGAAGCTAGGGCAAAGGGAGAGGGGAGTTCCCAGAATTAGCAGCACAGCCAGAAAGAAGCACTTGGCCCACAGCACAGCCTGGTTTAACCTGACACATCCCTGTTAAAAGTGGCACTGATTAGGAAAAAGCACAGAGCCACATTTTACCCACAGGTTCCAACTGTGTGCACTGAGTTTGCACAGAAATAAAACAGTTCCGGAAGCACTAGAAGGAGTGGTTGGCTGTCGACACTTACTGCGAGGACAATCTGGAGGGAACTATGAGCCACTTCTATGTACTGGTACTCCAGAAAACACCCCGAGACCGTGATGTAGCGATGGTCTTCTGGGGCCCAGTCTGGGGCAGGTGTCACTGATGTCACCGTACATCCTGGTCCATTCTCCATCCACCAAGATCGGTGCATTGAAATATTAAAAGTCAGGATAAGGTCTGTTTCCTGCAAGAAGGCAATTTATAAGGATGAGAATTACTTTGTAAATGTTAGTTAGCTTATTCGGACTGAATTGCTTTTGAGTTTCCCATTTTGAAATGTAGGTTTCTTCCCCTCCCCTTGCTGTATTTTATAGGCAGAAAGGTAGCATCTAAAGTCAGACTATCAGTTCCACCTGAAAATTAGGTCTATCGATTTCATTTATGAAGGTTTGCCTGACTGCAGTGATACAAATAAAAATACTTATTAGTAGAATTGTCGGACTTACATTGTTACACTGAAAAGTCTTAGCTTTTAGGACTTGTAAATATTACAAAGGGAGTGTTTTAAGCTATTTTTATCAAGTGCAGTTCATCTCCAGCCTGCTATTTTCCTCTCCCTCAGAATATTTACCTTTTGCACAATTTAAATGTTAAAACTGTACATCAGTTTGGCAAAATTTAACACAATAATGTGGTTAGTGGTTAAAATATGTGAGAACTTTACTTAATAAAACACATTATTTCTTGTCACCCCACCACTTATTATTATTTTAGAAAATCAGGATCTTTTCAATCTTGCCAACTCCTAATATAAAATTGGTCACAATACGTCTTAGAAAGTATCATCAGCAAATTATTGCAGGGTGAAAATAGTTAAGTCAACAACTCTTTAGATGAGGTTCAGCATGTTAGGTGATGTGCAGCTACAAATGGAATGATGGTAGTTTCCGCACTAGTGACCTTGAAATCACATGCACAGATGTGGAGCTGTCAATAGCACAGGGACGAATGTTGTTTTCCAGGCAGAGAATGCATCAAACACATCCTAGTATTCAGCAAGTCATGAGGGAAGATTCTAACAGAGAGGATCAATGGTGGAAAAGGAATTATTTCAGTCTCAGTGATAGAACCTCAGGATAATAGATGCCAACTACTCTCATGCCAAAATGAGGTACCAGATTGACCAGGCCGATCCCACATAGGAAATATTAAGACATATTCACTTAAACTGAACATATGAAAGGGCTGAGCATAAGTGATCAGGGAATTTGGAGACTGGAAAGAGTATTCCTTCGGAGAGTGCTATGTTATGAGTCTCATCATCTCCATAAAGTGGTGGTAAGGGAGGGGGTAAGGTCTCTTCTCTTCAAGCCTATTGAGAAAGGCTTCAAAGTATCCCTTGGAACCTGGGAGATACAGCAAACTGGTTTCTGACTCAGTCAGAATAAATCTCAAAATAAAAGCCTGTGGCTGGAGCTACCTGCTAAGTGGCCAAAAATGTCTTTTTTATTGCATTAGTTGATTTTTGAATAGTGAACCAGTCTAGTATAAATCCCACTTGGTTGTGGTGTGTAATTATTTTTGTACATTGTTGAATTCATTTTGTTTGAAAACATTTTGTTAGGATACTTGCATCTATATTTGTAAAAGGTAGTGTTCTTTTCCTGTATTTTCTTTGGTTTTGGCATTAGGTTAATGCTACCTCATAGAATCAGGAAGTTTTCCATCTGCTTCTGTCTTCTGGAAGAGATTGCAGAAAATTGGAATAATTTCTTTCTTAAATGCTTGGTGGAATTCACCAGTGAACCCATCTGGGCTTGGTGCTTTTTGTTTTGAAAAGTTATTAATTGAGATATATATATAAATTGATTCAATTTATTTAATAGATATAGGCCTATTCAAATTTCTTCTTGTGTGAGTTTTGGCAGATTGTGACTTTAAAGAAATGTGTCTATTTCACCTAGGTAATCAAATTTGTGGGCATGGAGTTCAGCTCTATACTGAAGTCTGTCTTCTCTACTACAGCAGCTAAAATAAAATTTATCTTGCCACTTTTAACAAGTTTCCAGTGCAATATTTTTCTTAACAGCTCTCATGTCTTTCTCTTACCTGGTTTGCTCTCTTATTTCACAGAGTACATAATTCACGACTTTCTTAAGAATAAGTGAATGATTTTAAGTCTGAAGTGTTTTTACCCTACTTTTATATTAATTGACTGATATTTTGGATGGATATGTGCTTCTTGGTTGAAAATCTTCTCTCAGAACTTGGTGTCTGTTTCTCCATTATCTTCTAATTTCCATTATTACAGTTAAGAAATCTGATATCATTTTGTTCCCTGTAATTTTTTATGTAACCTGTTTTCTTTCTTTTGCTTTCTTGCATCTTTTTGTTTTAAACAGTGAAATATTTCAAAAACATCAAAAAGTGTAGAGGATATTATAATAATACCATTATACCCACCACTCAGTTTCATTGAATCTTATGTTATATTTGCTTAAAGTCATTTTTAAAATAAAATTTTATACATATAAATGATGCTTCCTCTGTAGTCTTCCTAAATATGGTTTCCCCGCTCTCTCTCCACAGATGGTTACTATCATGATTTTGGTGTCATTATTCTCATGAAAGCTTTTTGTAGTTTTACTGAATATTTACATAGTTATTAATAATGCAAAATGCTGGTTTTTTAGGTTTTAAGATATATATATACTCTGTAACTTACTTTGGTTCCATGTTATATTTTTGAGGTTTATTGATGTAGAAAATCTTTTTAGCTTCAAGTTCTGAAATTCAGTAAAACAGTATCTTGATGAGTTTCTTTTTCACTTAGTTTGTAGAGCATCTGGAGGGACTTTCCATCCAAGAGCGCTTTCCTTCCATTCTAGAAAACAACCTACATTATATCCTTAATTGTTCCCTCCCCTCTACTCTTTTGTGTTACTGCAGGAAGCTCCTATTAGTCAGACATTTGTCTTTCAGGATTGATCTGTTACATTCTTATTTTTTCTTTCGTATTGTTCATATCTTATATTTCTCTTTACTCTCTTGTAGATTCTCTTTACCAAGTCTTCCCAAACTTATATTGAACTATGGCTTTAATTTTTAATATTTGGAACTTTTAAGAGCTAATTCTTCTCTAATTGTTGCTTTTGTATAGTTAATATATTTCAGTTGCTTCTTAGCTATAAATTTTCTTATTCTCTGAATACTTATTCTTTTAAAATTGTGTTTCCTACTTTGTTTTTGCTTTATCCAAGTTACTTATTTTTACTAAATAAGTAAACAGATAAGTAGATAATATTAACAGTAATTATCAAGGATCTACTATGTGCGATAGGCAATGTTCCTACCTTTGTGAGTGTTCATTTGGGGGTGAGGTAGATGGACAACAAATACATGAACGTATCAAAATGTCTGTGTAGTGATTAATATATGCAGAAATATAAGCTCAAGTAAAGAAATAGAATAACCAAGAATTGGGTGATGGGGAGTGTAACACAATATTAAATATAATAGTAAGAAAAGATGTCTCATTATTTTGTATTTGCACGAGTTCTGAATGAAGTATAGGAGTAAAGAGAGCAGATATGGGGAAAAGCATTCCAAGCAGAGAGAATAGCCAGTGGGAACGCCTGAATATTTTCTATTATGTTTATTTTTGCCTCTGACTTTCTTGTTGGAGCTGTTCCTTAGAAGTCTTTCACAAAAGTTGTCCTTTCATACCAAAGAGAAACTAAAACTTTATTGGCAGTTTGTCATGCATTAGTGGGCTGATCAGCTGGTATCCTTCACATATGATGACTGACAGGGCCTTCCAAATGCTAGGTCTGTAGGGATTGGTAGGACTTTTTTCTGGGTCTTCCACTTTACTTATGGGGTATACATCAGACCACAGCCTCCTTGGGCTGAACTGGGGAGGAGCTGATGCTCTTGCTACATAATATGAAGGCTTTTTTTTTCCAGCACAGTATTTAATTTAATGCTCACGTATTCAGAAACTTAACTCATGCCTGCCTGTGCTTCATGAGTCTTACCAGTCCAGAGGAGAAGCCTCGTTGCATAGACTAAAGGAGGTGCCTCAGGGCAGTCTAACTGCCCCTTGCACAGATTATTCAATTCATTCGCATTTTTAATCCTGTACCTCACATACACCTTCCACTTCTAAATCCTGACTTTTCCAAGGGTTTTATGGGTCAAATCTGTACATTGGAACCCACTGCATGATCATAAGTTTTAGGTTTTTCCATTTTGCTAAGTCATGTGCTAATCCTCTACTTTCTATCTTCCAAAAACTGTTGACACTTCCTGTCCATTCTCTTTTTACTGTGTGTTATCATTTTTTTATTCTTTAATACCACTTGGTGGAGTTTCAGGATGAAATGTAAGTAAGTACATATATTCAACCAGTGATCATTAACTGGAAAGTTTCTGGCATTATCTTACATTCTTATTTAGTTTCTTGTGGACATTTAAACAAAAGGTCTCTGTGTAAGCATAAAATAATGTACACATAAGCATGTGTGCCTTATTTTAAGCACAAAATATAAATTCCTGCTTGTAAAATAGACAATCGAAAGGTCTCCTTAAGTCCCCTTAAGTGCAACAGAAATTCCTGAGTATGACCTGCTCGATGCATAATCAATAGGTTATTTAATTCCCATATATTTTGTGATTTTGAGTTCAAAATTATAAGGACTTTTGAGACAAAGAATAAATCTTGATAGCACAAAATAAGGCATAAAACCACAGACCAAATCTTGTATATTATCAATGAATTCACACTGAAAAGGATACAAGGTAGGCTCAGAATTGTAAGATTAAAAAACTTTTATATCTAAAAAGACTTTAATAATTATATGTTCAGAGTAGTATAGTGTAATTTGTATCAATATATTTATTCATCTCTCTTAGTAACTATTCAAAAAGTTCAGATTAAAGGACCCCATTATTGGTCATGTCATTTTTCAAAATAGCAGGGTCTGATATATTACATGAAAGCTGTTATTAGCATTAAAAAGTTGTTTCTGATGGGGTTGTATGTATTCAGGGCAACACAAGAAGCCTAACTGCTCAACAAATAATAAGCATTTGATAATTAAAAAAAAGAGCATTGAAAAGTAAATGAGAAAATGATACTAGTCATGTCTGAGAATTTCAACAAAAAGCTACAATTTACTTTCACAATTTATGGCATTTATTGCATAATCTATTCTAATAGTAAACAATCGATTCAATATTGCA